CAAAGTCGTGAAACTGACAGAGAAGTTTACAATTTCCATCAACTCGTCTGGAACAATGATGTTTCGAATCATTCCATTTCAATTGATTCGCAGTTCTAAATAAACTGATGGATGTTTTCATATATAATTTGAATTCAATTTCTTTCATTGCTTGGTTGTCAGTACCTAATCAGTAACTATATCATTCCGATCATGCCTCTAAACTGGTGTGAATCCTGGTAATATTAATTTCAGAGTATATTATTATTATGTGCTAATGGATTGAAGATTTATCACAATTGAGTTATTGTTCTCAATTTATGCTTCTTCTACTTTTTATAACAGGCAGACAAGAACAGTTCGTAATTCGCCAGCATTATTGTTTGCTTTCGACTATAGACTGTTACATGAACACGTTTCTATTTCTCTACTCTTGAGTCAAGAGTTGACGAGTACCACTTCAGACGTTCATTAAAATATGAGCTATTTTATATGTTTTAGATAGAATGATCAGATAAGACGTGTTTCTGCATGATTGTGTCTACCAGCGATCTTCTCAGTGACCTTTCATCACATCTGTCAGGGAGCATCATTCCCCTTGAGATTACAAGAAAACCTTGCTGACGACTGCCAAATAACACCAATCCTAGGTCTAGACTCTCCTGTCGACTACCACAAACCACCAACTCATCTCAACATAGTGCACGCAATGTCACTTGTATAGCTGATGGTGTTTTGTTCGTGAAAACAATAAGCTATTTATCTTTTTCAGTGAACTACTTGATCTTTCACAGAGAATATTTCATTGTACTTTCTTTGATGTTTGCCTCCGAGTGATTATATTTTCCGATCCTTGACAAACAGCATTAAGTCAACTGATGTTTGGACATAGGTTTTTTAAATGCAGTAAGATTTCCTGTTATCAAGCCTTGATTGTGTGATCGCTCAACAAAGACATAAAATGAGATTTGAAAGCCGGAAACTGCATTATATATGCACTTGCAAGTCAAACGTTTTTCAATACAGTCAACGGCGTACGATTCACCAACCACGAAATATGTAATTCAACTTCTTACAGCTGATAACATTTGTGTCTAATAAGAAATTAAGGAATCGTACCCATAGTACCATACTACCCAATGATAATAATAATAATGATAATAATAATAATAATGATATTTCACTGTCATTTTTGTTGCCTTTATGTTTTTTACAGAATTTATATTATTTTGTTTTGTGAACCTCATCTACATTAATTTGATTGATATTTGTTTATGGCAACTGTAGCAATGATTCTTCCCTCTTCTTGGTTTTATTACTTGAATTGATCGGAATTGTATGTTTTCCATTGTGAATTGCATCACTCTTCACTACATTTAATTTAACCTACAATGCTTATCTACAACTCTCGATTGAGACGCAAGAGATCACAGATTTATACTTTTAATGATGAGTTTGAAACATTAACAGACCCTTCGCATTCAGTTATGACGACAAGTGGTTTTCCCACAATATCAAGATTTACCTCATTTTCATGATCCCATTCATAGTTTGGTCAAATTAACAGAACCCACTGTTGACCAGAGTTCGTTAGTCGAAAGATTAAAAACAATTTGGATTGAATTTGAGAACTATTGAGATACGCGCAAAATCAAAGTACCATAAACAACGTCTTATCTGAAACAATCGTTCTCTAATGAATGACATAAAAAACAGGTACAAATATCAAAATATGAGGTGCTCAGAGAATTCACCAATTCTCAATAAACCTGACAGATTTACAACTTTGAACACAAAAGTGTTGAATGGAATCCAAAACAGAGAACGTGAAAAAGACACAACAAACAGAATAAATAAAAACCAATATGATTTTCATTTCGGACATGAATGTTTCTGATATTCATGCCAGATAGCATAATGAGCGAGTGATCATGGTCACTGAAAAAATGTAATTCATAGAGACTACAAAACACTATTCAGGTAAGAAGGGGTGACTTAGCCACTACAAAATTGTGTCACACCATACGCGTAGATATTGCTGGGACTATAGCTGTTTACTAAACATTAGTAAGAAGTATAGAAGTATACACAAAAGAGTGGAACGTATTTGAATGCAGAGAACGTGAGAAAGACCTAATAGATTTAAAATAAATGAAAACCAATATGGTTTTCATTTCGAACATGAATGTTTCTGATATTCATGTCAGAAAGCATAATGAGCAAGTGAAAGAGACTTCAAAACACTATTCAACTAAGAAGGGGTGACTTAGCCACTACACAAAGTAAATCAACTATGCTAAGCAGTTTATTCATCAAAATGAATAATTCTAATTCTGGATGAACCTGCCTCATTTACAACTTCGAACAACCGATCCCTGGTATAACACAATCATTTAGCTTCACTTCTATCGATTTACTCTTTCAAAAAAAACTTGAAACAATGATGGCCTTATATGTCATTCACACGAAGCATTCGCAATAATACTATCATCAGACATGTGACCACTTTCTATAATACCACGTTTGGAGCTATCGTTGGTGACCAGCTACCACGTGCATCTATGTTCTAACATTGCACCAATGTCTTATGGACTAGACTGTTAGGTCAAATGCTCGAGGCATTTAACATCACACACTCAAATCAATGATCAGCACTACTAGCCTCATCGTTGTTTTCTGGAGCATATGTATTTGGTGGTCTATTGTAACAATGTTTGTTTGTTCAAATAAATAAACAAATTATGCTGATGAAAGTCTGAGCAAACCCTCAACATTTAAGACGTTCAACGATTAGAAGTACAGTGTGAAGTTAATAGTAAAATGTAAATTGAAATACTAGCAAACCAAATACAACGAGTTATCATGATCAGTGTGTCGAAGCACAGTCTCGAAGAGTAAAATTTACAATATCACTTAATTATGATTTCAAGGCATTTCAAGTACAGCTGTTGCCAGCGTGAATAGCATTGTATTTAATTACAATAAAACTACCAGATTCACTATGAGCCATTGTAATTGAAGTTTCTGGGATTCAGATGTTCTCAAAAACGTTTAAAGCACAGGTTCTTGCAACCGGTAGTAGATTGAACATGTATTTTCAGTAAACATATTCGATTATGACTTGACGTGACATGACATTGTATTAGTTATCAAGTAGTATGCATGTGATAGGTTGTTTTTTAACTAGTGGAAGAATGATTCAATTCACAATGTAAAACGTACAAATACAGGCAATTAAAGTAATACAGTCCGAAAGAGGAACTAATCAATGCTTCGGTCGCCATAACCTAATATCAGTTCAAGCAATGTAGATGTAGTTCAGAAAACAAAACACAAATTCAATGATACGACAGTGGATTCATAGCTCCCATCTTACTAATCTACACACGCATGTCAAACTGTAGTAAATTAGTGGTTACGAATGAAACAATCAAGGTGAACATAGAGACTGATTGATTTTGCACAAAACTGAAAGTCAAGTGAAGTAAAACGCGCTTGTTGGCTTGAAGTGAAAAACGTATGACAGTGTTTGAACGTCGAAATGAATGAAATCGCTAAAGAATATTTATATCCAATTCAACAGTGAATATCAAAATGCATATGATGAACAGCAAAAAATGCCTATCTCGATATCTGCAGATTGTATGTAATGCTATTTGATGTAATTCAGTTAATAGTTGTGAGTTTTTATTATAGCTGAAACGTATCCTCCATAAACACTTCATATGCAAATGCTCCACATGTTAAACCACGGTATACATCACATATGCTGGCTAGAAATGCTAATCTCATCGAAAGTTCTTGAGTCCATAAACCAACTGAGTTATTGTCAGCAGTTGAACAAAGGATAAAAGGGTGGTTGACCAATGAATACTGGTACAATCAACATGAGAATCTAAGCCTTCACGTGTCGCTTATTCGATGTAAGCTGGTTTAAATTTAACATACCGATCAAAAATGTTGAGGTTCCTTATTTCTTTCTACAACAATAAGTACAATATTCGACTTTGCGTCTGTGAGTATATTGCATAGTGATTTCAAAACATTTTGGTTCAACAAATATACAAACTGTGTCGAGATCTTCCAGCTAATAAAATTACTGAGCTATTCTAGATTTGCTCAGAATAAAACATCTCGTTGTACTTGCATCATACTACAATCTCATATAAGCTACGGCTTCGTAACAATTTTTTCAAGCATCAGATATCTGTCTTTTAACGCGCAGTTCAACACTTTATCATCGTGGTATCCTTAGGCTTATGTTTATAGGGCCTTTAATATGTTAATAAATTTCTCAGACACGCAATTCCCCAATACACAATCCAAGAGAACAGTCCTGTCAAACGAACAAAAGGCAGCCCTGATGTTAACAAACACTAGGATTGATGGCCTGTCATAATATGTCGGTGTTCTAACATTTGACGGAGGGTGAAGTTGTGAACAATACATTTTTGACTAGAATGAAAACCAGCCTGCACCTTGGGAGTCAATCATTCTCGAATTTAGAAAACCTCCGAAGTATGACAGAAGCCAACAGTTTGAACGCAATCGGAAGTAGACTTATCCCTCGAGAGTTGTTACAGAAACGAAGTGTACATCATAAAAAATATGGACAACTATCGACCTCGTCCATGATGTCAGATCACTTTCTAGCTACTCAACCTTTGTACACAATTGAGTGAAGGTGACCGCCATCTTTAAAACGGGAAAGGTAGGTCTTCTGATCCAGTTGCTTGCGTAATTCCACCCCATTTGAGTGATCAGTCATCATAGGCAATGAAAGACACAACAGTGTGGTCGATGTTACCGGAGCAGCAAGTCAGTTGAACAGCCCGTCTAAGAACTCTGCCTATCGTACAAGACGTCGATAGGTCAGTGTTGTAAATAAACGAAGATAATGACGCTGAGAAACTTTGAAGGCGTCGCACTGATCAGTTTGTTGTGCTTCGCGAGGCTTTTAATTATGAACAGATTCAGAGGCAAAGGAGCATACAGTTGACTGAAAAGAGGAAATCTCACTCATGGAAGTAAAAGAAATTGATACTCCTGAACGCGTCAACAACGATGCCATAAATAAACTTATGGATTATACAATAGAAAGTGGATTTGTTTCATTTCTTCGGTTGGTGCAGGCATCATCATCAGTAAATTTCATTTCTCCTGCTATCAAATCCATTGATAATCTTATCATCGAGACTTATGAACAAACACAAGCTATTCTGGGTGCTGGTTTGTCAACGTATATTCCTGCATTGTTAAACAATGAAAAGTCTACAGTGTTTAGAGAAGTCCGTCAGGTGGTGAGTAACATTACGGCGGAAAGCGTAGATCAAATTTATATAGTTATGTCACAACATCGTCTCATTCATCTTGGAGATCTTTTGCAAGGGTGAATCCAGAACTCGAAATGAAGGCTACTGGATTATCAATAATTGGATTAGAGGTGGGACTCCGGCACAGTGTGCGTGTTTGTTTAATCAAAATGTTTTGAAAGCACTATGCAATATACTCACAGTCGATGTTAATACTTTTGATCCTAGAAGGTATAAGAAACCATAAAATTTTCGATCAGTATGTTCAATGAAAACCAGTTAACATCGAATAAGTGACGCGTGGAGTGTCGGATTGTCATGTTGATTGTACCAGTAATCACCAGCCAACCACCTTATTATCCTTTGTTCAACTGTTGACAATAACTCAGTTGGTGTGATGGACTTCAAATCACTGGTCGAGAATTCGATTTTTTGCCACCTCATGTGTTCTATGCCGTGGTTTATAGCTGGAGCATTAGGATATGAAGTGTTTGCTTATACACCTGATAAAGTTCCCGAAGTAACGTTGATTTACCATGTGGTGCATTTGTTGTACTTTAAATTAAATTAAGCATTTTCATGAATACTAGTTAGTCGATTAGGTGGTCAATGGAAAACAGGTGTACGCGATTCTAATGCACAATGTGAGCAACTGGAAATATTTCAACGTTCAGGTGTTTGTTTGCTTTATATATCAGCAGGCCAAGAAAATGAATGGGATACATTTTCATTGAATTATCATGTCGATGGTGCATTGGTTTTAATGAATATAGACAGTTGTCATTTTACGCGGCCGACACCTCACTAGTTGAGGTTTGTGACTAATTTTTCTATACCATTAAACAGAGAAACGCTTTTTTTAGACAATCTGTTGTGTATCTTAATTGGGTATTCTAGACGCTTTGATGGACTCAATAGTAATGATTAGTCGACAGGATATACAATGTGGATCAGCTTATCTATCTCATTGGCATAATAATCTTCCACTTAAACTGTGTTCGTTATTGCGTACAAAGGTGTTGAGTTTATAGTAATTGAACAGTCATAGAAAAATGGAATTCCATCAGATCAAGGTTCATGCTATTATTATCGTTCATAGCTTAACGAATGAAACATGGAAACCAATAATCTTCCTATTCCTCCGACTTGCATTACGTTAGTCGTCAATGAAAACCCTTATTCACAAATGTTGATTGATCCAATGAGCTGATAATTTTGGTGTAATCATTTTCAGACGGCGAAACGTATAAACAGAATTCATTAAGTTTTCATACTCAGTGCGTCAATTCACGCTGTTTTCCTCATTACTGCCGTGTGAAAACAGTTACGAAGTTAAAATACTCGTATGGAAATAAGACACACAGTCTTGCTACAGAGATATCAAAAATTTCATGGTTATCGTTGAAAATATGTGTGTTAAATAATACATTGTTCCAGTGAATTGATGAACATCAAACTGTGATACAAGAACATCCTTATGATGAGTCACAAATATTACGATATGGGGATTCTGGTTATCCAGCAATCCGTAGCATGATTAGAACCAAATGGTGTTTTGTGATTGTGGGAAAAACAAAATTAATAAATTGATAAATAACGCATTGATTGATATTTCATCGATAAAATCAAGAGTATATTACCGGTTTGTTGTAGTCAGTGTAAAGCTCAAAGGGAAGCCAATGAATGAGAGACTGGTTAGAATAAACAAACAAAATTTTGATTCTCTGTCAACAAAGGACTCTGAGAGTTTATAGTAAGTTCGAATCAGTTATTGAACAATCATTTTTTTGAATTCGTTTGTAGTGCCGCGATACGTTAATCGTTCGTTTCGATAACCGATATAATTCTAATCTTAACGGCGCACAAAATCAGAAAACAAAGGATAGCAGCAACTTCAGTTTGTTGTTGAATAACTCAGGTCAGAAAGTTAGCAACACCTGAGCGAATAATAACGAGCGAGTGAACAGGCGAATAAGCGAACGAGGCGGAAATGACATGCAGTGGGAGATGGCTGGGAAGCCAACTCGAGAACGAGGCGAAAGATAATGCGTATTGGAGATTGGCGGGAAAGCCAACTCAAGAGTGAAGCAAAACTAATGCGTATTGGAGATGGCTGGGAAGCCAACTCGATTTAAGCGGTCGTTTATCAACATTTGTAATCGGACAAAAATGAGTGACAGACAAACGATGAATAAGATACGAAGTGAACACTTATACGCTCATACAAACTTATAGTCAAGGTTAATAAGCGAATAATGAACAAGATTAAAATATGACTCATGACAGGCGAATTGGCTTGGCCAAGAGCTAGGATAAAGTATATGGGCTTAACAAATAAACTGATACTACACGTTCATTCGTTGAATTCGTTCTTCATGAAATAATTCACATTCGAATCCAATCAATCTGCTCGATTGATACTTGTCGATTTGATGATCAGCAGTAAATGACATACATTAACAAGTATGTTGCATCTGAATAAATACGTTTCGCATACAATGTGTAATTAAATAATTCTCCCATAGTGACAGCATCACTATTCCAACACAATCTACTACACCATCGGCCGTGAAACACATAAAATCTTATTCTTTGAACATACATGTACATCTCAGTTTGTAAAGAACTCACTACAACTGTACCACATTCTTCAGTAGACACTTCCAATACAAAAATGTATATTCAAATACAATATTAAGTCAATCAGTTCCCTCAGAATCTTCATTTACATACTATAAAATTATTATGCAACAACACTTACATTCCACTTGAAAGACACAATGAGTTAAGTTGCGAATACACTCCTATATATATATATATATATACATGTAAATCATCACGTAAAGTAAAGTAATCCATTTAACCAGTAACATCACACGATTTGTTAGTTTGTCAAATGAACTGGATTCATTAGTTGACTAGTTCCATCTAACATCATGAAACTATTTTCATTTCATCGTAATGCGTCATGATCATTATGTCAATTGGTTGACCGAAATACTTCAATTCTACTATTAACAAATGAGCCGAATCACTTAGTTTTGGTCATGTGTTTTTTATGTTCACGAGTTGAAGTTTATAATTATTTATGTTCATTGACTAGTGGCGAGTAACGCTGACACGTTTGAAGTTAAAAAAATTAGTAAACGTGTGCATCTGTTACGACACGAACACTGTCAAATTGTGTTGTTTGTAAATGAGAACGTTCTTTTAATTGTGGTCGGCATGATTTGAAATAAAGTTTCAAGTGATAATCATTTTGACGGAAGGATGAGGAAAATGATCCCTTGATAGCGTGTTCGGAGGCTACATACTAAAAGGCACTCACACTGCATTCCATTTTTATAGGCGTATCGTGTAAATTCAATGGATTATCGGTAATCTATATTGGAATGCAAATTATCAACACAAACAATGAATGCAGACACACCAATTTCTTCTGAAAGCAACAAACAAGCGCAGTTTATAAAATTACGTTTTAGTTAAATCGGAATCAGAGGCTGATATTTTCAAACATAGAGACCCCGTCGAAAGTCTGACGAAATAAATAATATATGCATTTGTAACTTAGTTTTAGTTGTGAAATCTATGAGATAAATATGCGAATAAGCAAACGTTTTTCTCAGAATTAATAATTTCAATGTAGAGTGAACGAAGTGGTCAAAAGGTTAGGCGTTTGCGCTGGAGACTGTAGTTACTGGTATTCAATCCCGCGTGCGAGATCGTGGTTACACACATTTGGTTACGAGACGACCAAATAGTGCTGTCAGATTTTCCATGGTGGTCTAGCTTTATTTGACTCATGAATTCAACCATTAAAATTACTACAATCGACACAAAAACTTTGATCACTAACAAACATATTCAATGTAATCTGGTTAAATTTATGTTAGTGCATAAGGTAAGGAATTAAGGAATGACGAATATTCATATCATCTAAATTTTTTCTGTATTGTACAAGTGTGATGTGTACTACTTACGTCAATGCTAGAGAGGAATAGAGTGTCTGTCATCAGAAGGTCAATACCATCAAAGGGAAATGAACGGAAACAGGAAGTAATTGGTATGGAAATGCAGAAATTAGGAAGTCTGACACCATGGAAGTGGATTGAACACACATTAAGGAAATCACCCAACTCACATGGAATCCTAAAAGCTCAAGGAAAAGAGGAAGACCGAAGAACACGTTACGCCGAGAAATGGAGGCAGACATGAGAAGAATGAACAAAAATTGAATAGAACTAGAAAGAAATAGCTGTATCCAGCCTTGAACTAAGACTGGTTAACCGGATACTCAAACTGAAAATAATAGTATTCTCTCTCTCTTTTTCTGTTTTTGGTTATATCTGTCCTGAACTTTAATTCTAGCGTTCACACTTCATGTGACCGCATTCTTATCGTGAGTACCTTGATCACACCCATTTCATCATACATTATATCCGCACAAATATCTTATTATTAATACTAAAAACAAAACTATCACAATTAGCATTATGAAATTCTCCTACCGTTCATTTTACTTCCATGATTCTATATTTTAGTTGATTACTAATATATTGTGTTGGATTCGACACTTTACTTCATACCATTCAGACCCTTATCAACTAAACTGTCTTACAGACAAACAACACAATTTGGCGGTATTCGTGTCGTAACAGATGTACACGTTCGATATTTCTAACATGTGACATTGTGAAAATCATTAATGCATGCCTTATTTTGACCTTTGTAAGATGTAACAGAAATGATGCCATTTCAATGAATGTAGAGCATGAGGATGAAGTTGTTGAAAGCATTGGTTTGCTCAAATAGTTTTCATTTTTGAATTGTTAATAAGTGAAAACGAAAACACATGACCAAAACTGAGTGATTCAGCTCATTTTTTAATAGTAGAATTGAAGTATTTCGGTCAACTAATTGACATAGTGATCACGACCCATTATGATTAAATGAAAATAGTTTCATGATGTTAGATGGAACTAGTCAACTAATGAATCCAGTTCATTTGACAAACTAACAAATCGTGTGATGTTACTGGTTAAATGGATTACTTTACTTTACGTGATGATTTACATGTATAT